CCTAGAGGTGCAAGCGGCCCAGACCATGCACTTGTTGGGACATATCCACAACCTGAACGAGTGTATTCTCTTTCCTTAGTTGGTCATCGTTTAGTAGTTGCTACTGCAGGAAGGCATGTGAATGTCTATGATTTGCGCAATATGTCTCAACCAGAACAACGAAGGGAATCATCATTAAAATATCAAACTAGATGTGTTCGTTGCTATCCCAATGGCACAGGTGAAGCTTTTATGTACTAATAATTTATTTTTTCAGCTATCTTCATAAATTTGTATCTTACATGTTATTAATTAGTAGTTGATGTATACGTATGTGAAACTGCTATATTTTTGTGGCATTGTTGTCAGGGCTTATAGCGTCTAAAGCATCTTACGAATGTGCACCTAGGGGGCTTCAGTTACTTTTGTGGCATATATTTAATGTTATTTAGTCTCTCTGCCAACAAAATTTTGGAGGTGGATCGATTTGGTGGATCACTGGTCATTGCAGACTTTAAACATTTCCCGGATTAAGCAATGTGATATATGAACAAGGGATATTTGCTGAACCTCTAACATTTCTAGAAACACATTGCTCAACATTTCTTGAAATCATTAAATTGATTCTTCTCCAATGCATTTCCATTTTAAGGTGGTTTCAAAGATTGATGGGACCAGTGTGCATCGGCTGGTATTTACTGATATGGTGAAGGATCGGTATTTGACCATGTAGCTTGATACTAGTCAGCATTCATCTTTTTAACATTTTTATTGATACCAGGTGGTATCCAGTTTGACATGGTGTTGAAACTGGTTTCAGCCTGATATTCTAAACCTTGGTTAAATTGTCTTGTCTAATTGCAAAATAAATATGAACAACTGGTCCTTGCAGACTTTAAACATTTCCCAGATTAAGCAATGTGATATATGAACGAGGGATATTTGCTGAACCTTAACATTTCTAGAAACACATTGCTCAACCTTTCTTGAAATCATTAAATTGATTCTTCTCCAATGCATTTTCAATTTAAAGTGGTTTCAAAGATTGATGGGAGTAGTGTGGTTTCAGCCTGATATTCTAAACCTTGGTTAAATTGTCTTTTCTAATTGCAAAATAAATATGAATAACAACCTTCTGGGAATTTAATATTGCACTGAAGTTACAATTTGTTCTCACATCCAATATAAAAAATTTGGGCTTCCATTTTTGGTAACCTGACTATGTGCAGCAGCCTGTTGGCTTTCTATCTGCACTTAAAACTTGTTTAATGTTCTTGCTTCTTAGAAGTTTGTTGGCATTACTGTGCATAATATTGCAATTATTTCAGTGTATATGTTTCTTTCTAATTCGTCCCTTTGGTCATAACTGTAAAATGGCCATTGTCTCATCATCATCTCTCTGTTGATTAGTATCATTATGAACTTTTGTCATCATGCTATTATTATATCAATATGAAAACATACATTCTAGATTAGTTACTGCCAAGTAGTGTCATTGGTTGAGTGATTCTTTCCTTTTCCTTTTTTGGTTGCTTTTTAGTGTTACTGAAGTATGGACCTGTACTTATAATATAAACTCAGAACATTTCTTCCACATTTTGAATGTGATTTTGGAAGAGTTCATCCTTAAACATGAGGCACAATCTTGGGATGTTATCTTTTACCTTTCATCTTTTACATTATTCAGGTTGCAACTTGGGAGTATATTAAATCTGTATTGATTCTTTCGTAAGGGATTTTCCACTGTTTGTTTTCACAAATGTACCACATCCTGAATATTCAGAAGCTTCCATATTGGAGTCATTTCCTGGCGTTGAGTAGTGTGTTGCACATGAGAATCACAACTAGTATCAAGTGATTTAAAAAGATAATAACACCAATATCTAATTCACACATGTTCTTATTAAAAGGAAAACTCAATAAATTTTACACTTATGGGAAAAGGATGTATTATTATGATGTTATTATTTATAACAAAGGAAAAACTTATTCCAGCAATTTTCTCAAAAGTTCACAATTTTGCTGTCAAGAAACTAGACCTAGGATTTGGGATTAACATAGTGTTAAGTAACTGTTTCCTCATTAATTTATTATATTTATGCTTTCTTTTCAAGTGGCAAGGAGATTGTCATATTATCTAAGAATGAAATCGTACTATGGTTAAAGGATCTCTTGGTTAGTTATACCATATTTCTATGATCTGTCTAATTGACCAGAAATTATGGTAGAAATTGTACTGTTTTTACATCTTTGGTTTGTTATTATCGAGGAATATTGTGTAAAATTCTTGCTATTTGATGCAGGTTTTGCTCTTAGTTCTGTCGAAGGTCGAGTAGCTATGGAGTTTTTCGATCTATCAGAGGCTGCTCAAGCGAAGAAGTAAGATATTCTTGTGTTCATAAACAACCCTTATTCTGTCCGTTTGCAACATGTTTTTACTATATGAGAGGACTTTAGAGGGAATAAAAAAATTTACCATTTTAGTTAAGATTTTTGTTCATTTTGTGCTTGGTAGCATGAATCTTCCAGATTGGGTACCCATTACCTGGGTATTCATGGAAATGTATGCATGCACCTACTTTCCTTTCTATAAGCTTGTGGCTTTCTTCTTTATGAGTAATTTCCTCCTGCTGTTGCACCTCAAGCTTCTCTAGATTCTCTATCATGTTAAACATATTTCTTTTTCATATAGGCAGCACAAGCCTTGAATCTAACACTGCTGCAGTCAACTACCACAAATATTAAATACTGGAAGCCTTTATTTATCCTTGCAGTAGATCGATTTATGTTTTCTGGTTCTAATGGTAACATTTCATGTTGCAATAAAAAAATCTACGAGCTCATGGACTAATACATTTTTGGTGTTCATGATGACTAGTTTTAGGATATTGCTCCTGTGACATAATGTTGATGCTTTATCATTTTTATTTGTGATAAGTCCTCTGTTTCACTAGACAATGTTACTTCAGGTATGCATTCAAGTGCCACCGTAAATCGGAGGCTGGGAGGGACACTGTTTATCCTGTCAATGCAATTGCGTTCCATCCAATGTAATCTCTCTACACTGATTTAAATGACAAGAGTTGTACAATTATATTGTCATTTATATTTTATGATTTGTATTGGTCATCAGCTATGGGACATTTGCTACTGGAGGTTGTGATGGTTACGTTAATGTTTGGGATGGCAACAATAAGAAAAGACTTTATCAGGTAAAATCTTTTATTAAATGGTGAATGTTTATGTTGGTGTTCAGAAACTAACAAGGTCCATATGTTGTATTGTTCTGTAGTATTCAAAATACCCGACAAGCATTGCTGCATTATCCTTCAGCAGAGATGGCCGTCAGCTTGCTGTGGCATCTAGCTACACATTTGAGGAGGGTGACACACTGTAAGTTAATAAGATCTATTTTATCACCTTGGCAGTATGGGATCTTTTTGATGTTTTAATGCCATTGTGGAAAAATTAAAATTGCAGTCATGAGCCTGATACCATCTTTGTCCGGAATGTAAATGAAGTAGAAGTCAAGCCAAAGCCCAAGGCTTTACCTGCACCACCTCCATAACTATAGTTCTTGCAGCAAGGAAATTGCACCTTGAATGGATATTTGGAGTGATGGTTCTGCCTGCGTCAGCTGCTGTCCTTTGAATGGTTACTAAGCTACTATGAATACGAAAAATCTTGTAAGGAAACCAAAACTTGTGATTTCTTTCTTTTCTTTTCTTTTCTTTTTTTCTTCAGGCAGTGTTCGAGAGACCATTTTCCTTGATCATCTTGTTGTAGCTATCTGGATAATGATTGTCATTATGTTGCTGGTTTTGATCCAATGTTTCACCGTCAATGAAGTATGGTCTTCATTGCTGTTGTTGTTAAGTAGATCTCCAATGATTTTGTACCTGGGTTGTGGGGGTTGGATCTTAAATGATTTTATTTTTTCGAGGCATTTTTGGAAGAAGAGTTGTATTCAACACTTTTATGTGATCTTGGTTCTCCTTAATAAATTGTTCTAGAGAAAAATTAGTCAATGAAATATCATATTGACTCATTGGAAAAAAAAAAGTTCCTTCTCGAGGATAAATCCGCGATATATATTGGTGGGAGTCTCAACCTAATGTGTTAGACATTATTTTCTTAGATGTAACTATATTGGTTACAGTAATATCCATGTACAACTACAATAATAATAAATATTTTTGTCATTTTTCGTGACAGGTATTATGTTGTTATCCAATTTTAATTTAGATAACAACATTTTTACGTGCACAATAAAATAAATAATCTTTTTCTCGTACGATTAATTGGACCATTATAATTGTACACACTGATCCTCCCTTGACCCACGGAAGCTTTGCAAATTTAGACAGAAAAATCATTTAATTAAAATCGGATTCGGATCCGGATCGGACCTAACCTTAGCGGATCGGATCGAATAGGCGCCCATACCTGACTTAGGTACCACGACTACGTTCCCTTTGTTTCGGCTTCCGCCAAAACCTCCACTTCTTCCTTTAGACGCCCGGCGCTATAGTTCGCAGGGCGAACGCAACTGCGTTCTTCGTGTCTCCTCCTTCGATCCCACTTCGTTCTCGAAGGTATTGTTGCTCACTTGGTGTCTTCCCATGTAATTATTCTTCTTTGTTCCTCCTTATGTTTTTTATTTAGGGCATGGATCGATTCTTTCGTTATCTTTGTATTGTTTAATTGCAAAGGATGGATTACGATCGTTGTGGTTTACAGCATCGAGTGTAGTTGGGTAATTGATAGTTTGTTCTGTATATGTTCCAGAGTGCAAACACAGCCTTCTCTGTTCGCAATTTTCCCTTTTATATTTTCTTCCTCTGATTTTTGCGTTCCTTATCTTTTGATCACACTATTATGTGATGGAATTAAACCAACAGAAACTTTAGAGCTTTATTAGGATTTAAATATGCCTAATGTTTTTTTTGTTGTGGTTGGTACCTGCAGTTTAACTTTGGGGATGAGATTTGTCTCTCACAATGGACACAAAACATTCAGCAGAAATGTTTAAGTAAGTTGAGGGTGCATAGTTGGATATTTTCTATTACTGTATTCTTGTGAATCGTCAATTCAGTATGAATATGTGTTGTACAGGCATTTGGAGAAGCAAGGTGAAGTCCTCATGGAGGCGCATCGGGCGATGTCACATGAGCTACATCGGCTTCAGGTTTTTCATCTTTTTAGCATCTACCAGACTACTATGAAATTGGCTGATTATTATGATCTTGTTCATGTGAAGGTAGAGGAAGAAATGCTTATGCAGAAACTGTATGAGCTCATGTATATAAAAGGCCTGTTAAAAAAGGTACATTTGTTTATCATATATTTCTCAAAATTTACTACAAAATTATATTGCTGAAGTAGTATGTTAAAATCAATCAGATGAATTTTGGACTCATCTGGTGTCATGAATGAGAGATAACTCTTTCCTTTAAACTGTACTTGTTCTCAATTTTCGGTTATATTCTTATAGCAATTTGTCCATACCAGTATTTTAGTAATGGAGTTCCAGTTTCTGATTCTTAATTATGAAAGTTTGTTTATAACTTTGAGATTGTCTCTCTTGTAAAACATCAATTTCGTGTCATATTGAATTTTTGTCAACAACAATCAAAGAAGAATTTATCTTTTATTGTCATTTTCATAACTTCTTTTCAATTCAACATGTCCAAGTCATCGTTTAGAATTTCCATCTAATTCTTTTAACGACCAAGTTACAACATAATTTTGAGGCTTTTACATATTTTTTCTCGCATCTAGAAATCTGTTGTTGGTTCAAATATGAAATGTATTTTCCACAATCATATCCGGAAGAATATTTGTTAAGTGTGCTTCAATTTAGATCATTATTGCATTAAAGTTTTACATTAAATCAAAAAATTGCTATGGAAATACTGTTTATTTATGTGAATTGAAACTAAAAGGAACTGCACTTAAATTGGAAGTATACACAGCAAAATTATAAGATATGAACAGTCACATTAAAGTGTTTTGTTGTGCTGTATACACATGGAACAATTAATCCTTGGGCAATGTAATCTATGACACAATTATCCTATAAGCATGGACAATATGCATAGACCTAAAAGACTCAGCTACTGTTAGGTATTATTGCACAAAGCTTCAAATCTTCACGGTAGCATCCTTTCACTTCCTTAAAATGTGAATCGTAATCAGTGGATCTGTCACCAACATAATCCTGCGGCAATGACCTTTCATGAACTGACCTTTTCATCACACAACTGGTTCTCAAGAAAACATTCTTCAATAGATTATATAAGCGAAGTTCATCTCTCTGTCTACGGAGATATTGAATGGTTCTTATTTTCTTATGCAGGAAAAGAGAGGAGACAATGATTCAAGTATAGATGCAAATAAATCAATCTAGACAAATTGGTACACAGTGTAAGCAATCTTGATTCTATCACAAATCTCAGTGCTTGTGTTCTCTGTGTTAGAACTGAGATGCTATTATCAGTTCCTCATTTCTGTTTGTGTAGTTTGGGGAGTCGTTCTTCATGATGATGGTTGGATTGGATGAGATCAAGAAGCTTAACAAAACATGTATCTACATTGCAATGTTCAACCACAGTGAAAGAGGCTTTATAGAAACAAAACCATTTGTCAAAGAGCTATCCAAAGCAGATTAAATCTCGATAGAAACAGCTACAGCTCAGTGTTTTTACCTTGTTCTGGGAACACATTTTTTCTTTGTACATAACAGAGAGAGAGAAATTTTACTGAGATCCAAGTATTTTATGCTAATAAAGTGAAGTTTAGCACATTTATTTGCTCACAAGCAATTCCACTGACAAGTTAGTCATCTTGACCAGGAAGGGTGCTTTTATCCTAATCCAGGCTTACAAGCTGAGATCTCTTATGGGTAAATTCATGAAATGCACATTGGTCGCTTCAGAACACAAGCTGTAAGCTCTTTTCAGTTCATTGCTGTTTGTCCTCAAAATTTTCCCTATTGAGTAACATGCAATTGCTTGCCTCCTACTTAGAATGCAGCTGGAAATTCAAGCTACTACTGCTCCTGTTCTCGAGATTGGACATTGGACCATCTCAAGACCTTTTGAGTTGACCTGATCCATCACTTTCTCAGTTGACCTCGCAAACAAACAAGAGAGTTCTTCCCAAGACTAGACTTGTACAGTAAGTCCCAAGAAATTTCTCATGTTTGGGATAAAAAGGTCCACAAGAAAACAAAATAATCATAAAAATAACGATAATAATCGATCATGATTATGAGTCAAGATATATTGATTTATATCCTTTCATCTCATTCCCGAGTATCAATTTTGGTCTTTATATATCCCTCGAATGTATTAAAGATATATTATAATAATAATAATTTGGGTCTCCGTTGGCCCCAAATTAATTGGTTCCCGGCCCGTGCATATAATTTTGAGTTGATCTGATTTGACTCCACAATTCCTGGTCGCTTCCTCCAAATGCATGGAAACTATGCCACCACTCCCCCTCCCGTCAGTATATTTCGGATCGACGTCTCTTTCCCCTTCTTCCTACCTTCCTCCTTCCCTCCTCCCTCCTCCATGAACTTTATTCTTCACCTTCCTTTCTCCTCCTACATCGCAGTCTTGTCGTAGAAACCGCGAAGAAGTTTTGAGCTTTTGAGGCCTTTATTGGAAGCGAGCCCTTCACTCGGGACTTGGCTACAAGTAGCCACTGGAGAAGAGGAAGAAGAGGAGGAAGGGGCCGAGGAGGCAGGATGGAGAGCTACCTGAACGAGAACTTCGGTGGGGTGAAGTCGAAGAACTCGACGGAGGAGTCGCTCGAGCGATGGCGGAAGCTCGTCGGCGTCGTCAAGAACCCCAAGCGCCGCTTCCGCTTCACCGCCAACCTCTCCAAGCGCTCCGAGGCCGCCGCCATGAAGCGCTCGAACCATGTACGCGTACACCCCCGCTTTACATTCTCGATCGTGGTTGGCACTTTGTTAGAGCTGAAATTGACATAACCTGTTTCATCCATCATCTTAAGCTTTTAATTTGATGTGTAACCATGAAACTTTACATGATATGGCCATCTTGCTAGCCCACATCTTGATAGTCCTTGTCTAATTCGTATCATTCATGTTTCACTTCTGTTTTTGACTCTGTTTAGGGTTGATTTCAGAGTTGCCACATAATCATGCATTTATTTAGATATTCTTTTTAGAGAACAGTAGAAATAAATTTTTTTTTCATGGTTTAGCTCCTAAAAGTGAAAAAGTCTTTTAGGTTTAATGTTGCAACAACACCTCTAATAATCATCCTAGATTAATTTCCTTGGAAGCATCCTTTTCCTGAGGTTGCTGTATGGCTGCAGTTGATCTGAGCTTTACAAGCCGATCCACAAGCGTGGCTTGAAATTAATCTGGGGCCTAGAAGAAGATCAATATTTGGTTGTTGTATGGTTGATCGAGTTTAGTTTCAAACCAAGCTGAGTTGAGCCTGTATCAAAGAGCTCGTTAGTGAAAACCATGCTTCGCCCATACCTCCCATGAGCCTCAGTTAGGTTTGCTTTAGTTTATTTAATTGATCTTTATTACTTATATACATTAACTTTTCAATGATGAAAGATAAGTGTTTTTTTATAATAACTTAAAAGGTACATGCAACAAAACACATAAAATAGAAATTACAGTTGGGATGCTACTTTGTGATCTTTGGCGACTAGAATTTGAATCATGAAAACAACCTCTTTGCTTAAAAGGGTGAAACCACATATATTAACTCATCCCAAAGTCCTCATCGTTAGGTGCTTGTGCTTTGGTACAATTACTGAAATAGAATTTTTAGATGATATGTAATATACCTAGTCATAATATTTTGTTTTAAGAATGAGTCGTATCAATTTTTTTATATCAACAAATCCTTTACTATGAGAGCTTCCTTACCAGTGTTATACATTTTGTCTTATGAAAATTGCCTCATGTGTTAAAAGAACTACAAAACCAACAAACATAAAAGAACTTATTGATTTCTGAGTCAACTACATCATCCATCCATTACAACCATTTTGATGTAATTCGAGGATATATACATGTAATACACACATATGGGCTGGCATGCAAACACAAATACAAAGACAGACACATATATTTGAGCCAATTCTAGTCTGATCAGGCATAGCTATGTTCAAGCCTGAACCATGCTTGAAATTAATTTCTAGTCTATAGTGTCGTTGAGGATCATCTTGTGTATACTCAAACCAAGCTTAATTACTGGCCCTAGACTTCAGTTGTGCTTTCTGTCCTTCAGTTGATATTGCTGATAGAATATTTCATTTGACATACTCCAAAAGTCAATGAACCTAATTATTCTACTTTGCTTGCTGAAACTTGATGAACTTCAAATCGTTGTACACATCTTCAGTCCTTGCTTGTTGGATTTAGAATACTAATCCCTTACAAAGAGACTTAGCTCCATATCTGCATGGTCACTGACTGTAGCAGTGAGAGATATGCTCCAACCTATATAATGTTGCCCGTTCACTATAAGTCTGGCATTTATTTTATGTACAACAATTTTCTTTCTCCATAGGGAGACTGATTAGTTATTTTTTCTTTTCCAGGAGAAATTGCGAGTAGCTGTTTTGGTTTCAAAAGCCGCATTGCAATTTATTCATGGTAATCCGTTGTTGATACTGAGATGTAGTTTTAAAGTTGGCATGGTGACATAGTTTCTTTTCTTGGCTTCAAAGATGTTTTTGTTTCTACAATCTTTTCTTACAATTTTGCATTAACAAATGTGTTTAGGTATCGCATTGCATAGTGAGTACATTGTGCCTGATGAAGTGAAGAAAGCAGGCTTCCAAATTTGCCCTGATGAATTGGGTTCCATAGTTGAAGGCCATGATGTGAAGAAGTTGAAAGTCCATGGTGGTGTTAATGGTATTGCGGACAAACTTTCAACATCAACAACAAATGGACTAATTGCTACAGAGGAGAGTTTGAAACACAGGCAAGATATTTATGGAGTAAATAAATTTACTGAAAGCCAGGTTCGGAGTTTTTGGATATTTGTTTGGGAAGCACTTCAAGACATGACTCTCATAATTCTTGCTGTGTGTGCTTGTATATCCCTTATTGTTGGCATTGCCACAGAAGGATGGCCAAAAGGTGCACATGATGGACTTGGCATTGTGGCTAGCATACTGTTGGTTGTCTTTGTTACTGCAACTAGTGATTACCGACAATCTTTACAGTTCAAAGATTTGGATAAGGAGAAGAAGAAGATATCTGTACAGGTTACACGTGATGGCTTCAGACAGAAGATTTCAATATATGATCTTCTTCCTGGTGATCTAGTGCATCTTGCAATTGGAGATCAAGTTCCTGCTGATGGGTTATTCATGTCTGGATTTTCCTTATTGATCAATGAATCCAGTTTAACAGGAGAGAGTGAACCTGTCAATGTGAATTCTGACAATCCATTTCTTTTATCTGGAACTAAAGTCCAAGATGGATCTTGTAAAATGCTAGTAACTACAGTTGGCATGAGATCACAATGGGGTAAGTTGATGGCCACCCTTAGCGAAGGAGGAGATGATGAAACTCCATTGCAGGTCAAACTGAACGGAGTTGCCACTATCATAGGGAAAATTGGCTTGGTATTTGCAGTTGTGACATTTGCAGTGCTTGCTGAAGGACTAATCAAACATAAGTTTCAACATGGTTCATACTTGAGCTGGTCAACAGATGATGCATTAGAGTTGCTGGAGTATTTTGCTGTTGGAGTCACTATTGTAGTGGTTGCAGTTCCTGAAGGATTGCCTTTAGCTGTAACCTTGAGCCTTGCTTTTGCCATGAAAAAGATGATGAATGACAGAGCACTGGTCCGCCATCTTGCTGCTTGTGAAACTATGGGTTCAGCTACATCTATTTGCAGTGACAAGACAGGTACATTGACAACCAATCACATGACTGTTGTGAAAGCTTGCATATGTGGGAATATCAAGGAGGTTAATAATCATGAAGAAATAAAACATGTTTGCTCCCAGGTTCCAGATGTTGCTCTAAAAGTACTCATGCAATCCATCTTTTATAACACTGGCGGTGAAGTTGTTATCAACCAAGCTGGAAAACTTGAAATACTTGGAACGCCAACTGAGACTGCTCTGTTGGAATTTGGATTGTTACTAGGTGGGGATTTCCAGGTTGCACGTCAGGAGACCAAGATTGTCAAAGTGGAACCATTTAATTCTGAAAAGAAGAGAATGGGAGTGGTTCTCCAGCTTCCAGGAGGAGGATACAGAGCCCATTGTAAAGGTGCTTCAGAAATTATATTGGCTGCTTGTGATAAGGTTTTAGATTCTGCAGGTAACACTGTCCTGCTTGATGAATCAACATTCAGTCAACTCAAGAGTACTATAGAAAGTTTTGCCAGTGAGGCTCTCCGTACACTGTGCCTTGCTTACATGGAAATTGAGAATGGTTTCACAGCTGATGAACAAATCCCTATTAATGGATTCACTTGTATTGGAATTGTTGGCATCAAAGATCCTGTTCGTCCAGGTGTAAAAGATTCGGTTGCAATTTGCAGGTCTGCCGGAATTACTGTGAGAATGGTTACAGGGGATAACATAAACACTGCAAAGGCTATTGCTCGAGAATGTGGTATTCTTACTGATGATGGGGTTGCTATTGAAGGTCCAGACTTCAGGAGTAAGAGTCTGGAGGAAATGATGGATTTAATACCAAGACTTCAGGTTCTATTTCTCATACATTATCATTAAAAACATTCTTTTGATTAGTGGATTTTTTTTTTCTTATTATCTCTCTAATATATTAACTTACCAGGTGATGGCTAGATCGTCACCAATGGATAAACATACCTTGGTGAAACATCTGCGCACCATGTTCAATGAAGTTGTTGCTGTGACTGGTGATGGCACAAACGACGCTCCAGCACTTCACGAGGCAGATATTGGGCTTGCAATGGGAATTGCAGGAACTGAGGTAGTGTTTGTGACATATCCAAGTTATAGATATTAATTGTTTTGGTACTGTGGAAATTAAAGTAGTATTTTTTTTTTTCTGACCTAGTATTTAAGCACATTGCTTTTGGTGGAGCATGTAAGATAAGTGTCCATGCCTTTTGGTGTCCACCTATTTCTCATGGTAGGATCCAAGAAGGGTCAAAGTATGTTGTCTTATTTTTGTTAAAAAGGTCTTTTTATGACTTGGGCCTTGATTACGCTCCTAAATTACATATTCATAATCTTTGATAAATTTAGTTGTGCCGTAGCTTCATAAGTTCTCTTTGTTTTGGTTCAACTATTTATGGTCAAGGAGCCCAGTTACTGTTAATGCCATAAATTGCAGTATCTCTTAGTCTATTGCATAGTTGAGTTTTAGTTAATCTTATCATGAATTTGTTCGCAAAATACTGTGATATGCAGGTGGCTAAAGAAAGTGCTGATGTTATTATTCTTGATGACAACTTCTCAACTATTGTAACTGTGGCAAAATGGGGACGTTCAGTGTACATAAACATTCAAAAGTTTGTGCAGTTTCAGCTGACTGTTAATGTTGTTGCTTTAATTGTAAACTTCTCCTCAGCCTGCATAACCGGTAAAGTTAGCCCTTTTAACGGTATCAAGTTCCGGTGTACCTCAAAATTCTCTCTCATTGTTCTTTTCATTTGCCTGTTCTGTATTAGGACATGCTCCGCTAACTGCCGTTCAACTGCTCTGGGTGAACATGATTATGGATACACTTGGGGCACTCGCATTAGCCACTGAGCCACCAAATGATGAATTGATGAAAAGATCTCCTGTTGGAAGAAAAGGCGGTTTTATTAGTAACACAATGTGGAGGAACATCCTAGGACAAGCCTTGTACCAGTTCATTGTGATATGGTATCTCCAGAGAGAAGGGAAAGGGCTGTTTCAACTTGAGGGCCCTGATTCTGATCTTGCACTAAACACTCTTATTTTCAATTCCTTCGTCTTTTGTCAGGTAAACTCACAAATTTCATGTTTATTGTTCTTTGTTTTACTACCTGTTTGAAAGAATATGATAAATACTAAAAGACATTGTCCATAATTTTTATTTTATGAAACAAATTCCTGATTTCTTCAGCACATGAGATAAACCTGCATATGGAAAACTAACTTTTAGCATTTTTATACCATAATTTAAGAACCAGTTGTCTGTAAACTGCTATTTAGATGAACAGTCACTCTAATTCAGACGAGGACCTCATTTTGGACCCAAGAGCTTCCGTATCATCTACATGCTTGAAAGACATGAAAATGGATGCGGCTGTTGATACACCAATGTGGTTGACTATAACTTTATCAATAAACTTGACAAAATTATTTTAGTTGGGTCTGCACCATGTATTATGTCAGTCATTTTAATTGGATATAGAACGTATCTTTTCAATTATGCAAAAGACTTGTGCAGCATCTTTTATATCATTAGAGGCCAAAAAGTGACGTAACATACCATTCTCAAAATCTCGAGTCAATCTGAACTTGGGAGCTTGTCATGCAGGTATTCAATGAGATCAGCTGCAGAGAAATGGAAAAGATCGATGTGTTCCATGGCATATTGGAGAATTATGTATTCGTGGCTGTCATCACCTGTACCATCATCTTCCAGTTCATAATCGTTCAGTTCCTTGGAGAATTCGCGAACACCACTCCGTTGACTTTATATCAGTGGTTTGCCTGTGTGTTCATTGGGTTTCTTGGTATGCCTATTTCTGCTGCCATCAAGATGGTTCCTGTGGGTTCCAAGTAAGGAATCAGAGTCTTAGGAGATTTCCCTAATCATCTAACAACAGATTTTTGTGTGTCAATAGCTATCTCCATGGATTTTGTAATGTTGTCGATTGTAGAGGATACCATGGAGCCAGTTGCAAGAACATTCTATTAGAACATAACTGTCTTTTCGATGCTTTTTTTTTCTCTTAACCTTTATGGCAGAGGCAACTGTTTTCTTCAAAGAGCAATTTGATGTGAATTCAAGGATGTAGTCCTCAAAACTGATTGTATCATATGTGGAATGCATGCTTTCAATAGGTAAATGTTTGGGATGTATATATCTTCGTATGAAAGTGACAAATGTAAGTAGTAATGTCTTAACTATTTATGATCGTTTTCCGTCATTGAATTCTATATAAAATAATATTTTTATATAAATAAAATATATTTAATTTTTTATTTATAATTTTTATGATGTAAAAGTCTTATTTACGTATGATAATACTCAGAATTCTAGGAATCTTATCCAATAGCACAGCTCTTATTCTCGATACATGGCATCAAATCCGAGCTGTTGCCAACCCTCCTCCCTCTCCATTCCATCCGCCTGTGTTTTCCTTCTCGACTTGTTTCCTCTGTTTTGGTATTCCTTCCATTACCATTAAAATGCACGCTCTTACCGCCACCAAAACCGCGAAAGGCAACTGTCAACCGTTTCCCTTCTCCCATCTTCTCCCATAACGCTCTCTCTCTCTCTCTCTCTCTCTCTCTCTCTCTCTCTCTTCGTCGCCAATGGCGTCGCTGAGCCCCGGCGTCCTCCTCAGGCTCCTCCAAGACGACAAATCATCCTCCAACCCCCCACGCCGCCCGCTCCACGCCACCCCGGCCGTCCTCCAGATCACCGGCATCGTCCCCGCCGTCGCCGGCCCAGACCTCTGCCCCGACAAAGGCTTCTACATCAAGGTCTCCGACTCCTCCCACTCCATCTACGTCTCCCTCCCTGCTGACCTCAACGACCTCATCCTCGCCGACCGCCTCCAGCTCGGCCAACTCATCCAGGTGCGCCGCCTCGAGCCCGCCTCCCCTGTTCCCGTGCTCCGTGACTTCCGCCTCCTCGCCGGCCGCCACCCCTGCCTCCACGACACCGTCGACCTCATATACGCCGCCCCGGCTGCTTCTTCGAGCGCCACCCCTCCTCTGCCCCCACCCGAGAAGAAGAAGCGGCAGCTGCATTCGAGGTCCCACTCGAGCGTGGGGGACCGGATCAGCGAGGTCGGCATGAGCTCCCCGTCCTTCGCCCCTTCGCCCACGAACCGAGCGGCGAAGAGACGAGAGAGGAGGAGCTCGGACGCCCTGCACGAGCTGCAGAAGTTTACCGTTCCGTGCATGGATGAAGATACCTACGACTCCGACGACTCGAGATTCTCCTGCACTTCGTCTCCCGCGTCGTCGAGATTCTCTTACGCCTCGTCTTCCTTCTCGTCGCCGTCTCCCTGCACGACGAAGGCGAGGAAAAGCTGGCACGCCTCAGGGAGGATCACCGAGCGGAGAAGAGAGGCGAAACCCACAGTTCAGAGTCGAAGCGCAAGTGTAAGCTTAGCAGCTGCCATTCCTTCTCCTCATCCCCTGAAGAACTCTGTCGATTTGCTGCGAAATGATTGATTGCTCTGCTCCATGACCTTGATAGGTTTCTCCGAGTAGGTTAGCTCACCATGCAAGGTTGATGCCGAAAGATGATGCACCAGCAGCTTTCCAAAGAAACACCGAGAAGGCTCTCAAAGTGCTTGGTAATTCCGGTAAGTGGAAGCTCCCTGGTTCAGATAAAGCAAGCACAGAAATCTCTTCCACGACGACGACCTCCTTCTGCTCATCGGATGGCGGCGTCCTCTGGGCTTCGCTGCCTCCAAACTTGATGAGGCATGGGAAGGTACTCCATTCACTATATGTCTTTCTCCTCGAGATGTCAGTGATGACCCCATGGATTGATTCACTTGTGCAGGAGGTCGTAAGGCAGCGAGATTCATCACTGCAAGCTGCCATCGACGCGTTGCTGGAGGCATCTGCCGCAGATAAACTGATCGAGTGCTTGAGGCAAGTGAGCATTAGATTTCCAGAAGTTGAGAGTCTCTGTAAACATGTCATGTGTGTTTTTTACTTGGCATTTGCAGCACGTACTCAGAGCTGCAGTCCGACAAGGATGGCGATCCACAGCTCATGGTCAACAGGTTCTTGAACTTTCACCATACGCTGGGGCAGACCAGATTAATCGCTCAGTCATTAGAAAGATCGACCCAGCCGAGTTCATGCAACTACAACCCTGCTTCGGCCAGATCAGTGGGCAAGGTTGCAGCAGAGAGAAAAAGCTGCGCCACCTCGTGGGTCAAAGCAGCTCTGGAGTCGGATCTTGTACGATTCCCCACGCAGGTAAAGGCTCTTCCTGAGACTTCGGAAGCACCACCAAGTCATGGAGGAAGAACAAAGAATAGTTTGGCCAAGGGGAGCAGCCTGCTGCTGGCGTCGAACACATTGCAGCACGAGTACAACAGATGGTTTCTGAGATACATCGACAAGTTTCTGGATTCAATCCAGAGCAAAACCGGATACGATGGATGCGAGCTGGAAGTGGCAGGTTTGCTGTGCCAGTTAAAGCGAGTCGATGGCTGGTTAAACAGCATCACCAGCAAGGAGATCAGCTCCTGGCCGAGGGACAGACTCAGAGATGGCGTGCTGTCGGAGGAGGACGAAGCTGAAGCATGCGAGAGAGTGCGAAGGAAGATATACAACGTGCTTCTGCGGCATGTGGAGAGTGCTGCCATTGCTCTGGAAAGCATGAGCACACCTGATGAGGAGCAAGACAGGGAGCTGATGCTAAGTTCGTAGCAGAACCAGCATGAGCAAGACAGGAAGATTAATCGGTACAACATGTTGGCTTTTGTTGCCTGTGATGGTCTCTGTCTCCTGATCTTTCATCCAAACAAGACAGACATCTGGATCATTAATTCACTTCATTCTCTACATGAATCTGCATGCTGTTAATGATGGTAACATGATGAGGATGAGAAGAGAGAAGATAATTCCAAAGAATTTATGAGAGTAGCATGATTCTTAGCACATTGAGCCTCTTGTCTCTTCATTCGGGCTTGCCTCATGAATTCTCTCCTAAACAATAAAAGAGAACCATCTTCATCCAGGAAGCTTCATTTCAACCTCTTCTTAGTTCCTGGCAATACAAGCTACTGTAGAATGAATGCAGTGATCCTAACATACGGAGGGTGTTAATATATAATAGAACTAATTAGATTCTGATGATAAATATTGATTAATAAAAAAATATATTATAACATGATTCCTTAGGAGATATGAAAGAGTTTTTCTATTAATTTATTCTAGACTCTCTTCTCTCATCTATAAATAGACAGGATTTTTAGGGATTTAAGAACGTATATTACAAAGAACACAATTGAGAGATTATAATTTCTCTCTCAATTTTCTTAATCCATAAATCTAAATGATCGAATAGAAAAAGAGAAGAATGAGAGTCTAATTCTCCTTGACAGTGGTTTTAGATCTAAAAGTAATACTCAGATCACTCACATATCTTTTTCAGATGATATTAAAAAATATATATCATAAAATCGATATAATGCTATTTGATTTCAATCCTAATATAAATTTTTTTCATATTATATATATATATTATAATAGATTTCAAGCTTAGCCCGAAGAGCAATGACTCATACAGACCTCATGATTCCATCACCTCCTCCTGCAAAAGACCTGCACTCTGCACAACGAGATCTGTCGTCCATCAAAAGCTACCGGAGAATCGTCAGCATCAGAAATATTTGATGTTTAGTTTCATCATTTCCAATCCCCCACCCACCCGACACCCTCTACATCCCAAATCTTATTATAGATAACAAAGGTTCCATGTCCAAAACGAAACTTCCCAGTCAAAAACACACGACATTGATGCTTGTCCATGTCAACTCGTTATCTCTGCATTTACGCCTTGCAGAAAACAGAGCAGGAGAGAGACAGAGACTTGTCACTGCTCCACGGTGGACAATGAACGTATGGAGACACTTTAGATTTTGAATGCCCTCCGACAACATAGAAAACAGGATTAGCAGCTTCATCTTTTCAGATGTAGAGTGCTTGTCAGGAGACATACACTGAACCACTCCATGAAGCAGAAGCTCTCCGACATCAGTATCTATCACTCATGCTCGTGGCCTAATTGGATTAAGATGCAATGGATGGAAGAACACAACAACAAAAAATATAGCAGTAGGTGGATTAGTCTTACCAAATCTTCCAATGAACACAGTATCAGCAAAGATTTGATGCTGTCTCTTCTCCAACAATACCAAGTGTGCCGATGAATAGATTAAAACCCTAGCTGGGAACCTTCCTGCCGATATAAAAGACATTAAGAAAAGATTTGGTGAGGTTTTATATTTCATGTGTTCTTCTGTACTCCATTTTGAGCTTGAATTAAGAATCCACATGTTGTCACCAACCTCAACATCCAACCACTGGAAGAATTGTTTGGGTTAGATGATAGGTAGATTTATTTGGATTCAGTAGACATTTTGAGTTGAGTTCTGACTAAAGATATGTATGTATACCTTTGTCATCCCTAATCATAAACAATGAAATTAAATCCTATGATACCAAACAACATAATCTGTTCATAGGTCTTAAACCACATGATTCAAAGTATTTAAACAACCCAACAATTACAATCTTTCCTCTTCTTCTTCTTCTTCTTCTTTTTGTCTCCAACACACTACTAATATAAGCTGTCCATAGCATGCAGACTGAGGAAGTTTCACCGGTAACTTCCACCGCAGTGGCGCGAGATCAGCTCAACGGAGCTGTTGGGCACGTGTCACCAGATGTGCGCCTCTGGGCACCTCCATCACGAATCACGGAGCAGGTGACAGCCGACCCACGGAAGTATCACATGCCGACACCTTTTTTCCCCTTTATTTTTCTTTTTTCTTTGCAACGAATAAATATTTAAAGAAAGAAAAGAGAGCCTTTTTTTTTCCTTTGCTTTTATAAGATGTATTTACATCGTCCCAGCTAATGTTTGACCGCCACGTGTCTATGCTTGTACTAGTCCGTCGCCGTCTACAGGGAGCGCCGAACAGCCACGTGTCGTCCTCTGCTGGGAATAATCCATCAGCTTCGTGGTCGGTCGTCGCAAAAGCTCGATCAACGCTTCCGCCTGCTTAATTATTTTTTGAATTAAGTAAAATTAGATAAAAGAATAATAAAATTGACGAAGGAAGTGAGGTGAGGTGAGGTGAGGTTACCGACCTTGTCCTTGGTCTTCTTGGAGGAGGACTGGGAGAGGGCGATGAGCGGCGGGATAGCGCCCTCGCGGATGACCATCTTCCGGTAGGCGGCGCTTTCCTCGCAGATCTCCAGCAGCGAAAGCATCGCCACCTCCTTCTGGCGCTGGCTTCCCACTTCCACCATCTCCACGAGCACCGGGACACCGCCCTCCTCCACCGCCGACGCTCGGCCCTCCGGCTCCGACAGCAGCCGGTGCAGCACGTACGCCGCCTTGTCCACCATCTCGGACTCCGGGTCGGCCATTAGGTCTAGAAGCGGGCGCACCACCCCGGCCTCGACGGCCCGGGCCTTGTTCTCCTTCGCGGCCAGGAGGGTGAAGAGGGCGGTGGCGGCGTCCTTCTTCCCGCGGGAGCCGCCGGTCTCGAGGAGGGCGACGAGGGGCGGGATGGCGCCGGAGCGGCCGATGACGGCCCGGAGGTCGTCGAGCTGGGCGAGGCGGAGGAGGGCGCAGGCGGCGTTCTCGCGGGCGGCGGGAGTGCCGGAGCGGAGGGCGCGGACGAGGTAACGGACGGCGCCGGCGGCGGCGATGGGCCCCTTGTTCTCGTCGCAGAGGGAGAGGTTGAGGATGGCGGTCACGCCGTGCTCCTGCAGCTGCGGGTCCGGGTGTGAGAGGAGGGCGACGAGCGGGACGACGGCGCCGGCGCGGGCGATGCGGAGGCGGTTCTCGGTGCTGTGCTTGGCGAGGAGGCGGAGCTCCATTGCGGCGCGGCGCCGGGACTCGACGGAGGGGGACCCGAGGTCGGAGATGAGGCCGCGGACCTCCTCGTCGGAGTAGTAGTCGGAGGCAAGAAGGCGGCGGAGGGAGGAAGCGCCGTTGCCGGAGGCGGAGCATTGGCTGTTGCAGTCGCTGAAGGCGCCGGAAGAGCCGGCGCCGTCGCTGTAGCTCCGCCTCGCGTGGCGGCCAAACTCCGGCGGGTTCTCCATCAGCATCATTGCAATCGGATGAAACCCCCAATCCAACTCGAGAAGGAAGCGAATGATATGATATGCTTCGTTGCCTTTTGAGAAGAGGGCAAAGCAAGCATAGCATAGCAGTAGTATAAATAGGCCGATCGCCATGGCGGGGCGTTGGGAAGAGGGTAGAGCGTTCGAAGCTCGCACGTGGGACCCAGGTGTCGGCGTACGGGCGTCTCCCTGGCGGGCGCACGTGGGGAGGCCCGGCTCGGGCGGTGCGGTTTAATCGCGTACGACCGAAGACGGTCGAACCGGGTCGGTGGTTTGTTCTGCCCTTTTTAAGTGCAAGACGCTTGCGAGGAACGTAACCCCGGGCAACCCCCACGCGACTCCTACCCTTATCATGATTGGAGAGACACTTGAGGTCTGGCATGGGACCCATCGGAGTTTTTCTTAAGTCCATCATCCATTCCACTCGAATTAGTTGATTTCTTACCTTAACATCAAGTCTTTGGATTAAATCGTGTGCTCATCGAGGGTTGAGTTTTATGATTATTTTAGGCTTGAAATGTAAGGATAGAGACAAAATTACTCAAAAGCATGATCTCTAATCATTCATTTTGGGTGCTTTTAGAGTGACCAAAAGCATTAATCATCTTAATACATTGGAGCTTTTGAGTGGTACATTATTGGTTGAGCCAATAGGATAGTACCTTGTATCATCGTTGTTGGGATATGTTACATGAATACTTATTTGTGTGAACTTTTGAGAGCAATGAGACTGTCGTCGATCCTTTTTTTATATGACTATTCAAATCTTACAAAGTTTATTATTGTATTTTGCATTGTCCATTAAATATTTGATAAAATATCTAATTACGAGATCTCAAGTTTAATACTTCTATTAATATGTTTCTTTTTTGATAAATCCTTAGGATGTAAACTCTTTGCGGACGAACGTGTCTCACGACTTAGAGATGAAAGTTTTATCCTGATATAATAATATACATTATCCGAGTATTGAATTGACAAATTTCTATAATATACTTCATATATATAATTAACTATTTAAAATTCATAATTAAATAATATAATATTACATGAAGAATCTAGTATAATATTTTAATTATTACCATTAATTTGAGTCTAAATATTATACGTCATGTTGGAGCATTCATCGTGGACTCATTTTACATGTTTATTTATAATTTAAAGAAATATCTTGTTCGACTCATTTTAGATGTTTGTTTGTAATTTGGATGTTTGGGTTAAATCATCGATGATGATGGACCATTTGGTCGATCGGTCATTGGTGCGGCCCGTAGGCTTGTAAAGAATTATAACTTTTGACGATGGGCATACCCGTACAATTATATCCTTTCCGAGCATGTAAACTCCAAAAAGTACATTTAAGGGTAGGAGTGATTCGACGAACTTATGAGTCATTGGTTCTCATACTCCTCAACCAATGTAGAACTAAATGGTCTTATCAATCAGCAAGACAAATTTAAGTCCATCAATAATGATTGTATAATCTCTTGTCAATGTGATCGATCGCCTCTAAAATATGAAGTTATTAGAAAAGATATGACACGATATATAGTATCTCAAATTCAATTAGGATGTACTTTTATTGAGATATGGTATTACATATTTAAGAAAAAGTTGACTTGATTGGGATGTAATTTGTTTACTTGTGACATGGAGAGAAATCTAAACATATTAATTTTTTATGGATATGTTTCCATCTACAAGTCTAATTTTACATGATAATTTGACAATTAATTAATGCCACCAACATCTTCTAATCACAACGCAATTACTATTTTATTCCATGAGAAGTGTTGTCGCAATCAAACTTTCTGCTTGATGAAATCTCAAGATGGATCGGAGAGCATTCGAACATGCAATTGTTACTGTTATCACAATTATTTTTATCGATATCATTTCGACTACAACATGATACGATGATTGGTGTTGCCACCGTGCGGTGGGCTAAGAAGAAATAGAGAGCAAGTGAGGTACGTGAAAAGGCTTCTCGGGAACTCATCGATGGTGTTCGTGAATCATCAAATTAGAAGCCATTTCGTGTTTATTTCCAAGATTTTGAAGCTCGCTTGTGTGGAGGATGAGAAATCCGTGGAGATTACAATGATTTGGAATTTGATGTTAAATCTTCAAACGTTCTTCCACATCTCATTACAATGATTCATCTCCCATAATTCTGATTCGTTCTACTCCTAATAATAATAATAATAATAATAACAATAAATATTATTATTATTATTATTATTATTATTATTATTATTATTATTATTATTATTCTTCTT